CAGCATTATGGCATTTAATGTCCAAATGCAAGTAAGTGTACCTGATTATAACATGTTATAAGGGTGATTCGTATCACATACCTTTTTTTTTTTTTTTTTACAAATTTTATCTTTTGAACTCCTGTTTTTAAAGCACTGGCACAAAAGTTGGTATTGCTTGGTTAGGACAACTGTGTCAAACATCTGCATCTTCACAAAGCAATGGTGAGTGATAATTTGTTTATCTATTTTGCAAGACATGCACATCATTACAATCATAAATGGAATTGGTGGTTTGTCGCTTTTAGGTTCCGGTCAGGCCTTTGTTTCAGGGGCTGGTGTATCCACAATTGTTAAAGACGAATGGAAAGTAGTTGCACATGAAGTTGGGCATGGTTTCGGTAACTAAATCTCATATCATAATTTTATAAAAGTATTGACGATGTTACTTAGGTATTAAGTATTAACAATTATCTAGGTGCTTACCATGATTGCACTTCAAGCACATGTCCATGCAGTAACGTCAATGATGCTTGTAGTTGCTGTCCATTGAGTCAAACAACTTGTGATGCTGGTGGACAATATATTATGAATCCAACAAGCAACGTGATCACGAATGATTTTAGGTATGCCATGATAATAATGCTAACAAACATTCCTTAGTGTTACTGGAAAGTTAATCAATATATTCTTTTATAGCCCATGTTCAATCAACGATATCTGTAGCACGTTTCCAAATATCGGCACCTGTCTCCAAGGTTTGTTCCGTATATGATTTATGTATTGAATCTTTTTTAAATATTTTATTAATAATGGGAATTTTTAGATCCATCTACGAGTTCAAAAACCATTCTTACTGCCGCTATGTGTGGAAATGGGCTGAAAGAGTCAGGAGAAGAGTGTGACTGTGAGTAGACAACTATTTTATCTAGATTACTCTATATATAACTTCTGTTAATTCATTTTGATTTCAAACATATAGGTGGTACTGACTGCGCAAAGGATCCTTGTTGTAATGGAGCAACTTGTAAATTAAAGAGTGGTGCGAAATGCGAGTAAATAGATTATTTCTTTACAATCTTAAATATAATTCATTCCATAACGTATACTAATATGACTTCTTTTCATAGCGATATGAATGATTTATGTTGTAGGAATTGTACTTATAAACCTGTTAATGAAACTTGCCGACCAGCGATTTCCTCTTGTGATATTCCGGAAGTTTGTCCTGGCAATTCTGGTGATTGCCCGCCAGATTCACATATTTCAGATGGTACATCATGTGGCAATGGTCTTCAATGTGCTGGTGGCATATGTACGTCAAGGGATTTGCAATGTGCTACACGTGGTTCTCGTATGGGAATTACGAAAGCATGTACAATTACATCCTTTTCATCATGTACTATTAGTTGTGCTAATCCGAATGATACAACTCAATGCCTTGAAATGAGTGGATATTTTGTGGATGGTACTTCTTGTGGATTTTGTGGAAAGTGTAGTAAAGGAACTTGTGTAAACAGTTCATTTGGTACATAATCATTTGAAAATCTAATTATAATATTTCATCGACTATAATTAATATCTGTATATATATGCATTTCGTAGGAGAATCTATCATATGTTGGATAAATCAAAACAAAAATATAGCAATTCCTATTGCTGTAATTCTTGGATTACTTGTAGCATTATGGTTAGGCTGATTAATTTTATCGTCTATTTAAATTATTTAATTTACCAACACATTAACTTTATTCAAATTATTATTAGTTGCTGCCAATGTATTTATCGTAAATCCAAAAGACGACATAGTAGGTTCACAACACGTGTCCCCTCGATACCTCCAGATGAAGCAGCGGCTATAGGAAGCAGTAATTATAACACAGGATGGGTTGATCCGACGCCGTACAATGGTCCTCCGACTAATAATGAACGTTACCCTAATCCGCGTGATCGAGCAACAAGCCCTAATAATGGCCCACGCTCACCAGGTCATCAATATACCGACCCGCTAATTCCGACTAGTAATGAACGTTACCCTAATCCGCGTGATCGAGCAACAAGCCCTAATAATGGCCCACGTTCACCAGGTCATCAATATAGCGAACCGTTAGTTCCGATAAATTCACCACCAACTACGTACAATCACATGCCCCGATCTGCGCCAGTGCAACAAATGTATTCCAATTCATTAAGACCATCAAGTCCAGGGAATCCGAGAAACTACGAAGCTCCGAGGAGCCCGAGGAATTATACAAGTCCGAGAAGTCCGAGAAGTCATGATCATTTTGTAGATCCTACACCTTATAATGGGTATTAATATAGGACATAGACATTGTACTATATTGTTTTTGATAGAGTTTACTTAAATATCATTTCACCCTCATCTTTTTGCTACATTTCATTGTACATTTGTTTTTAACATTATCCGTAACTTTTTATATTCGTATATTTAGCATCTTCCAATTTTAATCTGATATTTAATTTAAGACATTGACATTCTAAAAATTAAAAAACTGGGCGTGTGTGATTTTTTCTTTAAATATAAAAACTTTATTTAATTCTATCAAATTGAAGTTTTTTTTTTTTTTTTTTTGTCTGTATGGTGTAATATTTATGCATAAATTATAAATTTTCAAGTTAAAAAACGTTCATAATGAAACGCGTAGGTAAAATATTTCTAATATCTTGAACATATCTCTCACCAGTAATAATATCAGATCCAGTTAATAACTGTGATATAGCTGGTGGAGATGGTTCAAGTAATGCTAATTTGACTTTTTCATTTTGGCAGCAAAATCCTTTTGATTTCATGAAAGCTTGCGAGAAACTAGATTCTGTTTATATGCAGTATTAATAGATATACATACATACGGATCTGGTAGCACAATGATAAGATTTTTTTGAAAATTTATTCATCAATATTTTGTCTTGGTCTCTGACCTTTGAAAGACGACGCGTGACCATTTTCAAAGTACAAAATAATGGCCGGTTTGGGTGAAAAAAAATTAACAAAGACAACTCCTTCCACGTCATGGAGTTTAA